CAACTCGCTAAAAAAAGTGCGTACTTTAATGCAAAATTAAGTGTGAAATATCCGATTGTGTTTACTTCTCAAAGCAAATGAAGACTGAAACTTTAGGACTAATTTTAAAAATATAATATCGATTCCAAAGTCAGCTAGTCATCACCACCCACCACCAACTCTTGGGCTAATCTTTTACCAACGAATAGTGGGATTGACCGTCACATTATAACGCCCCCACGGCTGAAAGGGCGAGCATGTTTGGTGTGACGGGGATTCGAACCCGCAGATTGCGAGTTGAGCGTCCTAACCTCCTGGCCATGCCGGGCCTAAAAAAACAAATAGTTAAAACACGCAAGAAAGTGGTTTCCTAAAGAAAATTGTGAAATATCCGATTGTTTTTATTTCTTATAAAAATTGAAGACTGAAACATTAGGACTTTAATGAACAAATATTATATTGATTCTAAGGTTAAAAACAATTTTATCTTATCAAGTATAGGGGAAATCTTTAAGGTGAACTAAATTTGGAAAGAAGAGGTAAGGACGTTGTAGGTTTAGGAAATATGATTGAAAATCCGTCTTCTGGAAGCCCTTTTGATATTTGTCTTTTCTTGAGGAGTAGAGTTAACCCGATTTCTAGCGTTGTAAGTCTGCAGACATACCGCTGATTTTGATTAAAATGAAAAAAAAATATTTTATCGGTTCCAAAGTTAAAAACAATTTTCTCTTATCTACAATAAAAATAACTTAAAGGGTGACTAAATTTGAAAAGAAGACTTTCTAGGTTTAGGAGTTTTGATTTAAAATTCCTAGTTTTGAAACGCTTCTATTGTTTGTCTTTTTTTCAAAAGGAAAGTAAAATCGAGACTAGCCTGAATACTGGTGACAAGTCAAGATTGACATCTATGGAGCTTTGATGGAAAACTACCCATTATAAAAACTGTACATCAAATGTATCTTTCTAGCCGAATAATATAAAAAAACATTTCACCAAAATTTTGAAAAATACCAATGATATAGCCTTGGTAATTTTTATGAAAAAACAAATTTTTGAACACGTAAAAATTTTTGAATTGTAATGCAAAATTAAGTATGAAATATTCGATTGTATTTGTTTCCTACAAAAATTGAAGACTGAAACTGTGTATCAGTTCCAAAGTTTAAAAATCAAATAAACATTTTTATTTTATTCACAGTACAAAATAACTGAAAGAAAGACTAAATCTGAATAGTAGTCATAATGATACTCTAAGTTTAAGAATTTATTATTGTATTTTCATAAGAAGTAAAGTTAAATCGAGGCTAGTCGAAATATTGATGTCAAATCAAGGCTTAAATATTAGGAGTTTTGATGAAAATACGCCCATTTTGAAAAGGGTACAACAAGTGCATCTTTTTTAGGCGAACAATATAATAAAAGATTTCGCGAAATTTTGAGAAATACTAATGATATAGCCTTGGTAATTCTTATGAAAAATAAATTATTTGAAACTCGCAAAAAAGTGCGTATTTTAATGCAAAATTAAGTGTGAAATATCCGATTTAGTATATTTCTTAGAAAAACTATTTACTTAAACAGCTATACTTTTAATGAAAAATATTATGTCGCTTCCAAAGCTACAAAAACAATTTTCTCTTGTTAGTAATTAAGCACAAAGCTACGCAATGAGCTATCTATGCTCTGCCCACCATAGGTATCGAAACTTGGTTTCTA